CAGCATAGTACTGGTATAAAAAAAGGCTCATAGAACAATGGAACAGAATAAAGAACTGAGAAATAAAGCCAAATATTAATACTTACAGTGAACTAATCTTTGGCAATACAGACAAAAACATAAAGTGGGGAAAGGACAACCTATTCAACAAATGGTCTGGGATAATTGGCTAGCCACATGTGGAAGAATGAAACTAAATGCTCATCTCTCACCTTATACAAAAATCAACTCAACTCAAGATGGATCAAAGACTTAAATCTAATACCTGAATCCATAAAAATTTTAGAAGATAACATTGGAAAAACCCTTCTAGACACTGGCTTAAGCAAAGACTTCATGTCCAAGAACCCAAAAGCAAATGCAACAGAAACAAAGACAAATAGGTGGGACTTAATTAAACTAAAACGCTCTTGCACAGCAAAAGAAATAATCAGCAAGTTAACAGACAGTGCACAGACTGGGAGAGAATCTTCACAATCTATAAATCTGACAGAAGACTAATATCCAGAATCTACAAAGAACTCAAATAAATTAGCAAGAAAAAACAATCCCATCAAAAAGTGGGCAAAGCGCATGAATAGACAGTTCTCAAAAGCAGATATACAAACGGCCATGGAACATACGAAAAAATGCTCAACATCACTAATATCAGTAAAACATAAATTGAAACCACAACGAGACACCATCTTACCCCTACAAGAACGGACATAATTAAAAAAAAAAAAAAAATAGATGTTGGCATGGATGTGGTGAAAGGGGAACACTTTTATACTACTGGTGGAAATGTAGACCAGTACAACCACCATGAAAAACAGTATGGAGATTCCTTAAACAGCTAAAAGTAGAACTACTATTTGATCCAGCAATCCCACTATTGGCTATCTACCCAGAGGAAAATAAGTCATTATATGAAAAAGACACTTGCACATGCAGTATATAGCAGCACAATTCTCAACTGCAAAAATACAAACCACCCATCAATCAACAACTGGATGAAGAAAATGTGGTATGTATACACCATGGAATACTACTCAGCCATAAAAAATATTGAAATAATGACATTTGCATGCCTGGATGGAATCGGAGACCATTATTTTAAGTGGAGTAACTCAGGAATGGAAAACCAAATACCATATGATCTCACTTTTAAATGGGAGCTAAGTTGTGAGGATGAAAAGACATAAGAATGATATAATGGATTTTGGCAACTCAGTGGGAAGGATGGGAGGTTGGCAAGGGATAAAAGACAACACACTGAGTACAGTATACACTGCTCAGATGATGGGTGCACCAGAATCTCAGAATTACCACTAAATAACTTAATTGTGTAACCAAACCACTTTTTCCCAAAAAACTATTGAAGTAAAAAATTAAGGCTGGGCACAGTGGCTCATGCCTGTAATCCCAGCACTTTGGGAGGCCGAGGCAGGCTGATTGCCTGAGGTCAGGAGTTCAAGGCCAGTCTGGTCAACATGGTGAAACTAAAAAGATTTTTTAAAATTAGCCAGGTGTGGTGGTGTGTGCCTGTAATCCCAGCTACTCGGGAGGCTGAGGCAGGTGAATTGCTTGAACCACAGAGGTGGAGCCAAGATTGCGCCACTGCACTCCAGCCTGAGTGACAGAGCGAGACTCTGTCTCAAAAAAAAAAAAGAAGAAGAAATATAATGTGTTACATATGTAATTTTGAAATATTTATACACATTCAAAAAGTTCTTAAAAAACAGGAAAAGTTAATATTAATAATACATTTTACTTAATCCAATATACGTACACTTGTCATTCATATAAGCAATATGAAAAATTACTAGTGAGATATACTGCTCTTTTCATATTAAGTATTTGAAATCCTGAATATATTTTATAACATATCTCAGTTCAAAGTAGCCATATTTCAAGTGCTCAGTGGTCACATGGGGCTTGTGTCTGCTGTACTGGACAGTCCAGGTCTGGGATTTAAGGCTGGTATGGCATAGAGAAAATGACTCTTAAATTATCTGTGGGGCAAATAGTAGAGCAAAGTAATGTTAGCCCCATATTACAGAGAAAATCCCGGGATGGTTTGTGACAAAGCTGAGCCCAACATTGCAGCTGACTTTCTCACCACCTCAAATACGTGTCTACTGGGGTCCAGCTGTCAGTCTCCTCCCTTCTGAAAGGAAGCTGAAGCATAGGTGCTCAGAACGTTCACCCTGGCATCAAACTACTGAGCTCAAGTTGTGATTAGTGCTGACCCATCTTTGGCAAGTATTTATCTTCCATGTATTTCATTTCCACTTCTGTAGAATAGGCATGATAGTACCAACTTCACAAGGTTGTCTTAGGGGTTTAACTGAGGTTATGCTATAAAGCAATCACTTAGCATACTGATTGTAAGTATATTGAAAGAAAGAGCTATTAATGTACAATATTAAAATGAAAGATACCCATGGTAGTCATAGAGCCATCACCAAATGTTTTCATCTTTCTTCCTTCTAAGCACAGAGTAGGATAGTGTTTCTTTGTCCCACTAAAGTTAGGTGTGGTCATTGACTTATTTTGGACAATGAATTGTGAGTGGAGTTGTGTGTCACTCCCAGGTAGAATCACTCATTTGCAACAAGCTCTGCCACAATGATGAGGCATGCTCCAGAGAGTAGCTGCTGCATCAGGCTGGGTACCAGGGCAAGATCCATAATGGACATAAAACAGGAGAAAACATAAGGCGTATCGCAAGCCATGACAATTTGGGAAATATTCCTTGCTGCAGCATTATTTAGTCATCCTACATGATACATCATCTTAATTGACGCTTGCTTTAGGGATCCATGAAGTTAACTAATTCCTCCCACCCTCTCTAACATACTGACTGATGCCCATAGGTTCAGAATGCAGAGATTTAGACAACTACTTTCTAATACCGGAGGCCCCCTACATCCATCTCACAAGTATTGGTTGTGCTTATTTCCAAGTAGTTTATACTACTGTAGTCATTATTAAGTTTAATTAAATATGGCATACATTGATGAAATTTGAGTGGGAAAAGAAAATGAGCATTGTATCTACGAACAGTTGAATGTTCTGAAGAGACTAAATAAAGTAGAACTGTCAAAATAACTTGAATTAGGTATGCCAGAAACAAAGCTGGGGTGGTATACGTATTGTACAAAATACAAGATGATTCTGCACTCTGATGTCTTTGCACACAGCTTTCAATTCTTGCTTTGCTTTAGAGAAACCCAAACTGGAAATCGCAAAAGATATATTATTGGTGTGGTTTTTTCAAGAAACACAAAGTAGAACTGCAATCGGCTACCACCCATTCAAAGTAAAGGTTGGCCTTACATCAAAAGATGGGAAAATAATTGCGTAGTTTCATGCCTTATGTTAAATGAAAATGTTAAAAGTGTGTATGTAACATTTTTATGACCACTCTCCCAAAATTAATCAAACATTTGGAAGAGCCAATTAAAAACTAGTCCTACTTACATGGAATAAGAGGTGATCTTACGTACTGTGTATTTCTTTTGTTTCAGATTTTTATTTGCATAATATACTTTTGGGAAAACATGATATGAAAAAAAAATGTTGTTGTTGTCATTGTGATGACTTGGGTTAAAAAAAAATACTCCTGGTTAACAAGATGATTCCATGAAAACTTCATTTAACTCATCCCCTGCCTGAGATAATCTACACATACCATCCACCCCAACCTTTACTCTTTGGGAATAAACTTACCTGTGCCTAACAACTGTAGTCATGCAGCCAAGCTCAAAAATAAGAACGAGAAGGTACAGGCATTTCTCATTATCTTCCCATAAGCCCCAGACACAGGCTCTTCTTCTGACTATACTTACAATACCTAACATGGATCCCACAGAGCCCCACCAACTACTTTCAGCTGTTTCCCAGAGATGAAATGTTTCAGACATATGGTCACAGAGATTAATATCTGTGCAGACCAGTTTTGAAACAGCCCAGAAATATTTTGGGAACATGTGGCATTAGACAAATATAAATTCTGAACCTGGGTTTTTCCTCCATGTGCCTCTCCCTTCCACACCTGGACTTTCAGAGTGAGTCACACAGAAGACTCGAGAATTGAAGACAAAGAACTGGGTATAAGCACATATTTAGATTCTGGGCCACTGGACAAAAACTTCAGGAGGGGCTGTTAATCTTATTGAATCACCAGAGGAAGTGGGCTCCAGTTCTTTTGGTGGTCTCCCTAAAATAAAAGGCCTACTTGGATAGTTTGGGGTTTGTGTTCTTGGGGTTGTCTCATGGAATGAGAGTCATATCAAACTGTCTTCTAGTTTCTCCCACCCTCAGAAAACAACAAGGTATGGGTTGGTATCTAATAGCTCCTTGAGCTATTTCTCTATTTCTCAAACACTAAGTTGTCCCGATTTCTGTGACATTAACCTGAAGATGATCCTTGTGAGTAAGGAGGAAAAAAAATCCAATGCATAGAACATGGAGGATTTTCACGGCTGTCCTACAAACAGCTTACAGAAGTTTCACACAGATTCACTGCTCCAAAAACACTATTTTAAAATGGTTTCAATTGCGGTTAACAAATACGTGCTTTGTGTTTTGTAGAAGCACAGGCCAGAAACAATTGATAAGTCAGAGGTGGCGTTTTCAGTTTAGTTCTTGAAAGTTTGAGATTTATTACCTAGAATTAAAAATTCTTTCTATCCTGCGGAAAGACATATGGCTTTCAGGCAGCACTTAAAGCAGACACACACACATACACACACACACACACAACACACATACCCCACACAATTGGCTTGAATTGAGAGAAAAATTATCTTATAATGAAAGATGGCCAGTTATGATGATTTTTTTAAAAGTTTAGTTTAACAAATCCCTCTTGTTTTGCAAGATTGGACATGTACTGTCATGAGCTTTGAGCTATTAAAGAAAGTAGAAAATGTAATAAAGTGAAGCCCTAATACAAAATTAGGAAAATTTTATTTTCAGAGAAAAGAAGACAAAAGAAGATGACTTCCTCACCGTTTCCCAACCATAGTGAATTATTTAATAAGGGCTCGTCCTTGTTAGGATAGCTTGATCATTACTTTGACATAAAATGTTGCAATGTGTACAAGTTAAGAGTGCCAGGAGAAGAGAACAGTAGACTTGGATTGTTTTTGATCTCCAGAGTAGGGAATAGATAAGCAGACCTTTCTCAGCTTGCACCCTCAGATATTCCAGGTTTTCCTTAAAAGAAATGGAGTGGAAACAAAGGAATTCTTTCTTTATTGCTGCAATTCTTCCAAAACATGGTGAAATTCTGAAGACATACTTTTCTATTCACCTTCCAATGATGTGAAGACCCAACTGCGAAAAGAGCCAGAGACACAATAAACAAAAAGTTATGTAATTCTGCAATTTCCTTGCAAAAGAACTATAAGATAAGTTACCCCAAACCTAAAAAGACTCACCAGTATTAATAAGCTCAAGCTAATCAGCCAGATTCTCTCATTGATTAAATTCCTATGCCCAGGGCATAGAAAACACCATCCTGTTCTCAGGCAACTAACCCAAACATTTTACTTAGAAAGTAGACTTCTAGGTAACACCCATTGAGAAAATCATATGTGTCCCTATAAGCTTATTTCAGGAGAAATATTAAAAATTTGACAAATATTCAAGAAGCACCTTTTAGCTAGAACTTAGGAACTAATGAGAGTCAACCGAAAGCAGTAAGAGAGATGGTGCTTTAGGGAGATGGTGAGCAGGAATTTCTTTTTTAAGCCCTTCTGTTTTTTTCATTCGTGAAAGAGCATCCAGAAGGACAAGAAAGATTTAAGGTTTAAAGCGAAGTTAGTCAAAGCTCTTTGAAAATATAGTTTGTCCATAAATGTTTTCCCAACAAGCTCACCCAAGTTTATTTTTCTGTGGTTTTTATTTATCTTTCATAATAGCATCAATGCTATTGGTCTTATTCAACAAAAGAGAAATATAAATTTTTTGAAGAGTTGATCTTTCCTTAAAAAATTCATCCACTTAGCTGAAAAACAACTTAGCTGCTATGATGATTAGATTTATCTATTATGTTTGTTATCTGATACTTCATAAGCTGAATCTTGCCCCAGAGAGCTTAGAATCTGATTGGGAAATAAAATAATCTTACTGATCTCTTTTGTTTAAAATGAAAACGGAGCTTTGTTTGTCCATCGAGAAAAAATACATGTTTATTGCAGCAAATTGAAAATTATATAGATAAGTCAGGAAAAACTGTTAGCATTACTGCAACTTCCATTATATACAGTTATTGTGGACATTTCAATATAAATCTTTACAGAATATAGCATAAATATATAAATTTAATCAGCTTGAAATGAAAAATTGTTTTATAACCTGTGATATTTTTCCCTTCATATTTCATAAACATTTTTATTTTTCTATAATATATGATATATAATATATAATTTCGATGTCTTTACAAAATTTCATCATGTAATTGTAATCCTCTATTATTAGATATATAATGTTTTCCAGGGTTATCTTCCAGTATAAACAGAATTGTGATGAGCAAATTTACAGATACAACTTCCTGCAGACTACTCCAATAGACTTAATCTCTAAAACAGAGTTCTTGTGCCTAGAACTTTAAGATTTTGATATATATTGCCAAATTGCTCTCCAAAATTTGTGTGAATTTACACTGCACAATAGAGTATCAGGGGGCCCATTTCCTTGGAGTTTGTTGATACTGAGTGTTACACACTGTCCTTGTCCATCCCTGCTGCTATTAAAAACATACCCAGACTGGGTAATTTATAAATAATGGAATTTATTTCTCTCAGTTTTAGAGGTTGACCAGTCCAAGATCAAAGCACTGGCAGATTTGGTGTCTGGTGATGGCTGCTCTCTGTTCTCAAGATGGCAACTTCTTGTTATGTCCTCACATAGCAGAAAGGACAAAAGAGACAAACACTATGCCCTCACGTGGCAGAAGAGATGGGAAAGCCAGGCAGCTCTCTGATTCCTCTTTTATACCCATATTAATCCCATTTATGAGGGCAAAGCCCTCACGGCCTAATCACTTCCCAAAGACCACACCACTTAATATCATCACCTTGGGATTTAAGTTCCAATATATGAATTTTAGAGGGTCACAGACATTCAAACCATAGCACACACATTCTGATCTTTACCAAATTAACAGGTGGAAAGATATTTTACTGTTCTTGTACTGGGTCATTTCTGGTTTTTTTCCTTTGAGAATTGTCCTATTGTGTCTTTTCTGTGGTTGAAATTCACAAAAATTTTTGAACACTATCATGCAAATAAGTGATGCAAAAATGCATCCAGGTAGCACTGATACTGTTTATCTACTAGACAAACTACCTGAACTCAGGTATTTAAGTTAATTGCCACCTTAAGTATAGAAAGCAAGTATAATAAGAATAGAGGTGAGAAAACTGGGGTATGGCATTAGTGCTTATAACTACACCTGCAATGAAAGAGAAGTGAGGTATTTTGGTATAAAAGATACCTTTAAACTTTCTTTAGTTATCCTTCCTCATTGATCTGTCAAATCAAGCAACCTAAGCTGTCTGCTCTCTGGAACTCAGTGAAATAAAAGGTTACGAGGAGAGAATAACAGTGCGGAAGAAAAATTCACACGTAAAAACTAGCATTTAAAATTTTGATTTTAGATCCATTACGGCAGAAACACGCTGGAGATGCATCCTGAAATCAGAGAAAAGAATGACTCTTCTTTCTACAGTCTCTGACTGCGTGCTGAGGCTGCTGGTGAGAAACTATAATGGGGCAGCCACAATCTTTAAACACATAAATATTCCTACTTTAAACACATAAATATTCCTACACAAACTATAATGGGGCAACCACAATCTTTAAACACATAAATATTCCTACAGCATCCATTTCTTCTTAATTTTATCTACTGGATAAATAAATTCAGTGGGAATAAGACAGAGAGAGAGAAATGCAGACATTAAAAAAACAACACAACAGTGTAAAATTCCTTAATATCTGGAAATGCTTAAAGAACCACATGGCATCGTTTGAAACATACAGGTTACAATGAGAGCTCCACAAACAAGATTTTGCAACATGTGAATATTACATGAATCTTCAAAATCATTTGCATTCTGGTGATTCTGTGCACTAGAGATGGGTAGTGACATGTATATTAAAATAAAAAACATGGTTGAGTTACATTTAGGCCTATTATATGCCCAGTACTTTACATTATCCCAAGAAAATCCTTCAAAACCCTTCAAGGAATAGTAACTTTATTATTATTCCTACTTTACAGATTTCAAAAAAAAAAAACACAAACATAACTGAAGGATGGAAAGGGAAACTAAGAAGTAGATGCAGAACTTGAACTTATATACAGCTATCCATTGTCCTCAGTTCTCAGGCTAATGGTGTCAACAGAGAGGAAGCACCGTGTCAATAAGTCCTTACACCTTTGTAAGTGGATCGCTGAACTTAAAAACAGATGAGCAATGAAGGGCTTCATATCCACAAAGTAATACCATTTACAAATATTGACATATTTATAACTATCTAATACCCATTTTCTTTGATTTTAAAGTATTGCCAAAAAGACATACAATTCCTGTAAATGCTGTACCCCTAAATCTCTGAAGTCAGCAATTCAGGAAAAATGTTAAAAGGTGATCAAGATTATTCATTTTGCTTCCTCTCTGCTAAATCAGTCACTGGGCTATTACGAGTGGATGGAAAAAACCTCGTAATCCTCAGGTGTGCCATTAAACTCATAAATTGCAAGATTTCTAGGACATTTTATATTACAGTTGACACTGCTCCATGGTATGTTCGGGGATATTTTCCAAGAGAAGCTACTCTCTGAACATTAAAATGGCCTTTTCACACTCTTTATGTTATAGAAAAATGAAATAAAACAGATTCAGCTTCTTAATTATGCAGCTAAGTCCTATCCAAGCTTCAGTTGACTAAGAGTCCACCATTGCCTACTATGAAACCGGAGCCAAAGCCCAGTAACTGCTAGTTGCCAGTTATTTCTATCTGCCCTGTCTCTCTTTTATCCCTATAGGCCTAGAGAGTCAGACTTCAGTTTTCAATTATATTAAGCTGAATTTTAAAAGAAAGGGAAAAAATGTGGCTCGAGTTTGCAAAGGTTATTTATCTATCTAGAAATAATAGGTTTTTTCAATTGAGAAAAGACATTTGAAATCTTTTTTGAGACAGAGTCTCACTCTGTTACTGAAATGTATTTTTCAAATGGGGTAAATACATGACACCTGTCAGTCCTTGAGTCCACCTCAAGATAATTTTAATATATTTTGAGGATAAAATGAAGGCTGTCATTTTTCATTGTACTAATAGAAATTCTCTGAACTATTAGACCAAGAGATACTCCTTCTTTCTAGAAATTCTTATAGTATAATTAGTGACATGTGAAATAGCTTTTGTTTAAATGTTGCTAAATAGTCCCTTTTAACTAATACAGGTGTTCTCTCTTCAGCTAAATCACATAAACTCCTAATGTTAAGGAATATGCTTCCCAGTGTTGTGATACACCCTTACCACCCACCTCCCTTACTGCCACCTGGTGCCTTCTCCATGCTTGTCTGTCTGTTAAACAAGGCATGGCAGAGAAGTATTAAAATCTGCAAATGTTTTACAGTATGAGAACCTTCCATCTTCCTGGCAAAAAAAAAAAATCATTACTATAACTTTGGCCATTGCTGCATTTAGATATAAATCTATTTGAAAGCTTCTTAGAGCAGGAGTCAGCAAACTTTTTTGTAAAGAGCAAAATAGTAAATATTTTAGGCTTTGGAAGCCATACAGTCTGTGTTAGAACTACTCAACTCTGCCACTGCAACATGAAAACAGTACATAAACAAATGAGCAGGTATATATGTATTTTTTATTTACAAAATAAAACTTTATTTACAAAACTTTATTTAATAAAACTTTATTTACAAAAACAAGTGGCAGGCAAGATTTGATCCATAGATAGTAATTTACAGGCCCCTCTCCTAAAGTGTGAAAAAAAGAAAATGAACATTTTAAGTGGTTTCTATTCAAGCAAGTTTTCTTCAAACTAGAAGATAGAAAAGCAAAAGCTAACATCAATGAACCAGTCTGGTTCTTCAAAAAGATTAACAAAATTAACATACCTTTAGCTAGATTGACTAAGAAATAAAAATGTCTCAAATTACCGAAATCTAACATAAAATGGGGACATCACTACTAATTTTACAGAAACAAAAAAAGGTTATAAAAGAGCATTACAAAAAAGTGTACACCAACAGATGGCATAAACTAGGCGAAATGAACAAATTTCTAGAAACACCCAACCTACC